ATAGCTTTGAATTGCCACAAACTCATATATAGGATATAGACATTTACTTCTATTTTAGTTTATTTTAATAATACTTCAAAATTACAAATGGGGAACTTGGACCTAAAAACATAGTAGAATGGGTCAACTCGAAAATTCGAGGATTTCGGGTTCTAAATAAAATCGAAAAAAAAATCATCTCCTAGACTAGACTTGCTCAACAACTCTGTTCGATCGAACGAAAACCGCATGTACGATATTTAGAAGATTTGTAAAGCACAATCATACAGAACTAGACCTCCACTAAAAACTACACACCAAAACAAAAAAGAAGAAACATCAATTAAGTCCTTAGCTTAGCTTATAATTAAAGAAAAGCATTAGGTATTATGTTTATTTTAGACAGTAGCAAAGTCTAATATTAATACTAGAAGATGCACTCAACCACCTCGACGACAATTGGGAGCAAATTCATAAATGGGAATGGGATGTATGTATTTATATATATTGTACATACCCTACCTACACAGTTGTTAACAGCCTAACGACAGCCTAATCTTATCAGCCTATCATAATTTGGTGACATGCGAAACATATACTGAAATCAAATCATCGAACAACTTCAATAGAAGATATCGAGTATATTGTAAAATAAATTAACTAAACAAATAAAAATCGATATCAAGTATACCTTACATTATAATCATGGAACCAAGTTTCTGGATGCGAGTTTATCTCCATTAAGTGTTATCTTCCAGCACTCGGCTTGAAGCACAAATACGGAAGAATTTTTGGGCACAACTGGGAATCAGGGAGAACGAGATTGAGTTAATAATCTTCAAATTAAAATTTGCAATTTTGATAAATAAATTTCCGCGCCTTGCATAAAGCTTAGAACCGTAGCTTAAGCATATTCCCATGCCGTGAGAGGCAAAAAATTTGAATGTTGCCTCAAAAATAAAATCATTACCTTGGAATTTGTTATCTTGAGTAATGATTCCGATTGTTTCTTTAGTCTCCCGAACCATAATGCCATGAATCCCGACGCATGCAATTATTTTACATTGAACAACTACGGAAAAAAGAAAAAGAAAAAAAAAACAGCAATTAAGCATCTTCTAGTGTGAACACGAACACAAGTAAATCTACCAAATTCACGATCAATACAGTGCAATCATCAAGAAATCTACCGAATAACTCTTGATTAAATTAGTAAACCATAATAAATACTAAAATCAACAATAAATTGGAGTACATTAGTCAAGGACAGAAGGAAGCTATTAAGTATCATGAAATCCTCATCGTACATAAAGCATAGCGTGACTAATGTAGAGATTTTTTTTTGTTTTGTATTCCACCGGATCGAATGCATCTATGGCATTAGAAGAGTTAAGGTTTCCAAACCTTGTATGATTGCACCATGAAGGTCAGCATTGAGAAAACATTGCGCCAATTGATCCTTCCTGCAAATTCAACGACTTGGCAAATAGCAACTAACGTATGTTGAGAGCTAAACGCATACTAAAACATGAAAAAGAAGACTAACCCGGTGAATTTCAGAAGTTGTAGTACGTAGGATTTCCATTTCTCATGCATCGGTTTAAAGAAATCAAAGCTGGAGTAGTCGACAAAAAAAGTCGTGTTATTAAGAAAATCAATCTGGTGAAAAAGGAATATAAACACATGCACCAGAGCAGATGGTGAATCGAAACACTATTAAAAGAAAAGTAGCCAATGAATTACCTATGGAATTCTTTAGGTAAATCGAATAATCCGCTCGTCTTACGTTGCTTCAGGGACATATGTTTTTTAGATCTTTTCGACCCGTTCTGTAATGCCCGAATACGACTACCACTTGACATGCCACCTTTTTGGACATAATTGTCAAGAAGTATTGTATTCTCGATTTTTATGTTTTTGGATCCTTGCATGTACTTCTGAGCTGAATCGCCACCTTGAAAGAGCTCGTGCAACACCCGATCAACAGCACCCCTCCTATCAGAAACCTGTACTATGAAAGTAAACGAAGCAATAGTTAATATTTGATTTGAAGTTAAGAACATGCCGAATTAATCAGAACATAAGGAGATCAAGGTGAAGCATAACCTCAACCCCAGTCGGTAGCAAGTTTTCATCTACTGAGTGAGAAAGCTTCAAGTATGCCGGCTCATTTAAATCTACATCTACAAAATATCGTAGATATATTCAATTCAAGAATTCGAGACAAACACGGAACGATCACAAAGAAAAATTAGCAATCACCTAATACAAACTTTACCTTTTTTTGAAGTATGGCCCGGGTAAGAAAAGTTGCCTGCAAAATTATGCACGGGACACAATTATTAGACAATCGGAGGATATCAATGAAGTAATAAAATCGAAACGACATTGCTACAGAAACGACAGAAAAGGTTAATTGCATCCTTTCGTTTCAACAGTATGTTGTGCTACAAGCTTCACTTAAAAGTTAAAATGATTCTTCTACACTAAGGCTTCGAACTCTATAATCAATTATCGAACAAAATATCCACAACTAAAAGTAGATATCCAAATCGAAACGGTAAGACTTGGTCATACTTCAGAATAAACCTTTTTTAGCCGAAGCACTGGAAAATGTTTTTTTGACAGTTGAAATCGCAGACGGAGATTCAATATTTGAAGCAACTCTCTCTTTATCTTCAATTGGTCTTTTCTTGCCCTTCAGCTGCTGCGTTTGATGCTCTGCTTTCGCTTGAGCAAACCTTCGTTCTAGAGCTTCAAGCGTCCGTCTCTTTTGATCTTCCATGATTGCGTCACTGATAGCAAAATACGGTTTAGCGAAAAACTACGAAGTTTACGGCAGTCGTGTTAAAGGATTAAACAATTTAAACGTTGAGTAAATTCTGCCGAAAACAAGTTCAAAGTGCATTCTACTCCAATTAAACACCTAGTTAACCTTGCATTTTCTTAGCTATGATGAGACAGAAAATTAAGAACATTTCAAATCAGAGCAGAATCATAACCTATAACATCGATAACTCCAGAAAGCATATAAAATTAAACCCCAGCGAAAATCAGATACATAAAGCAAAAATCATAAATACGCGGAAAAACACAACGAACAATAATAATGTATACACATACCCCATAAATTTCACCGAAGAGAGAACAAATGCAGCGTGATTAGGGTTCAGGAGTACGAGTGAAAGATGAACTGCCGCCAATTCGAAACCCGCTCAGTCAAAATGTCATGACCCACGGCGGTTCTGGTGGAGGCGACGGCGGCGGAGAGTTGGGAGAGAAGGTGGGTATGGTTCTCCAATACGACGTCGTATTGAAGAAATATACCGAGGTTGGGCTTAATGATTGGGCCAGAAGCCCAATCGAATTTAATAAATTAAGCTGAATTATGTAATTAATTGCTTAAGAGAGCAAAATAATTTTTAATTTTCAGATTGAATCCTATATCTAATCGTTTTTGCAATTTCTATCTTAATTATCAATTTGAATCATACTTTACACTCTATTTAAATTACAAAAAATACAAAAATAGGCAGGTTGTTACACAAAACCTCAATTAGCTGCTACTGCATCAATACAAAATACATAAAATTGTCATTTTTTTTAAAATAATTATTTAAACTGAGAGGGGTGGGCTTAGAAGACCAAACGGTGTAAATATAAAATGTCTGACAATTAACATCGATAGCCACAATGAGACAATTTTTCAAGTGCAGGGGGGGAAATTGATGCAATCGAGATCAGAAAGGGGGTAAAGTGATACCGAACCAAAGTTCAAGGAGGAAAGGGTTATTTGCCCTAAAATTATATCAAAAGATAAACAAATTTTACTAGTCGGGCTGGTTAACAGATTTGATTCGGTTGCGGGCCTTGCGGCCGTTATACTTTGAAAGCCCGTAACCCAACTAGTAATAAATTAAAGTTTTGGCCCAATTAGGTTAAGAATGGTCGAACGTGGCTAATCCAACGGCTGTCGGCCTTCTTACATTCCATCCCACGTGGCGGTATCATGCCCGTTGCCTAGGAACACGCGCCGGCCGAAACATAAACGTACGAAACCTGCAAAGCTGTAAGCCCAGAACGTAGCTCAAGAAAAACACACCTAGAAATAAATAAATAACCTACTTCTGATCCCAAATATTAATATTTTATTATTGATCCAAAAATGAAATATGGACCACCATACACATACTACTGTCACTTTTCAATAAAATACACATACTAGTGTGTGTGTGCGTGAAAGTGAGGAAGGAGTAAATGAGAAGCCATCGGGGGTGCACACTTTTTTTTTTTTTTTTTTTTTTCTTTTTCTAGAATATAAAAAGATAGGAGTACTGTTATTACTTTTATTACCTTTTGCACTTTTTTAAGGTGAAGATTTGATTCTTGTGAAGAATGGTCGGTTACGGATATATGGAATATATATATATATTTCCTTTATTTGCTATTTAGGGTTAAAGAATTGCATAATTTAATTTCACGCCTCTAAAGTTACTGCTCACGTAATTATGAGCTCTTATGTGGGCGAGTAGCATACTTTCGTAAGTATTTTGATTAAGGGTTTTTAATAACAAAATTATAAGTAAATTAGTTATCAATTTTGTTTAATTATTCTATTTTCTTTTATATATAAAGTATGCCATAGTTGATGCAGAAATACTCAATAATTTGACACTAATTGGAGCAAGCTCAACATTCTTAACAAAAAAAAAAAAAAAAAAAAGAGTAAATTACGGTCTCTTCTGATGTATGGTCAAATTATGGTAAAACCACTCGTGTTTGGATAATTGCATCCAATTTCCTTAACTATGAATCTTTTTACACGTCCACATTTTGAACAAGATGATCATAAGAAATGCCTCTTGACTTGTAAATATCAAATTGTAGTGTATCTGAAACTGCATTTTTTGCACAAAAACGAGTACAAACTAGAAAACATTCCTTGTAATCCATAAAATTCTATTGAATTTGACGCTATAAGGATGGACATGTAAGAAAATTCATAGTTGATGATTGATTATAATTACTAAAACATAAGAAGTTTTTTTTTGTAATTTGAACTTATCTGAAGGGCAACGTAATTTAAAACAAAAAAAGAAAGACAACTTCAAACAGAAACAATCAAATAGTTGAGACCAATGTTGTTAGAACCGGATCGAACCGGCCGGTCGGACCGGTTCGACCGTGACCCGGCTTCGAAGCAGTCCGGTCTGACCTCTAAAACCGGAAAAAATAAAAACCGGGGTCAAATGACCAAAATCCGGTTCGACCGGGTAAAACCCAAGAACCGGCGAGTCAGTCAAAAAACCCGGTTTTCGGCCAAAACATCTCAAACCACCGCTAGTTGGTTATTTATGACTAGATTTGAGTGAATCTTCACGGGACTTAGTGATGGGTGGCCAGATCTAGTCATGAGTGGTCGAAGAATTGCTGGATTCGGTCATGGGTGATCGAATAGCGGTGGTGAATTGCCGCACTACAAGAATAAATAATCAAAAAGTATAGAGTATAAGCAAAAGAAATATAGTAAAAAGTGGTGTGAGATTGATAAAATTGAAAATAATAGGTGGAAGATTAAAAATGTAAAGAAAATAATATTTTTAAAATATTCAAAATTAATAAAATAATAACATATTAAAAAAAATCAAAACCCGGTTGAACCGATTCGACCTTATAAAACCGTGACCCAAATGGTCGTCCGGTTCCATGACCGGTTCGGTTCTGACAACATTGGTTGAGACAAGTAGCATAGGTACACAATAAATACTACTTGATCATATGTAACAATAAATATAATAAATCTACTTGATTATGTCTTTATTTTTTTTTTAAATATAATAAATCTAGTTGATCATATGTCACAATAAATTACTTGGTATTGTTTTATAAAAATCCCTTCTTTACAGCTGTCCCTTCTTCCATTCCCACAACTCTCTCTCTCTCTAAAATTTTAACTACTCAGACTTACTTCACTCAATGATACTACTGATGCTACTGGTGATTATACGTATATAAAAAGTGTATATAACTGTGTGTGTATGTATATAATATACGTATAAATGGAGGTAACGGCAGAATCCAATTCATGGAGAGATGAGCTGGCGAGCTTAGTGGGGGATACAGGGATAAGGCTCAACGGAGATTCAATCGCAGTTTCGGCGAAGCTGTCGCCGCCGCCGCTGGCGGCGGCGGAGGAGGAGGAGGAGACGGCGGAGAGTTTGAAGGATCAAATCAAGGGTTTCGCTACGGCGTGGGGTGAACTGGCGGTGGAATTGGGGAGAGGGTGCAGGGATGTTGTGCGGCAGACGATATTGACCGACGATTCTTACATTGTGAAGAAGACCAAAGGACCGTTGGCCGAGGTTTCGGAGAAACTGAGGTTTCTGAACGATTTCTTGCCGGAGGACCGCGATCCGGTGCACGTTTGGCCTGTCATCTTCTTCGTCTTTATTGTTGCCCTTGCTGGTAATTAATTTTTTCCCTAAATTTTTTTTCAAACTGTATTTTCTGCTGATTAGCGATGTAATTAGCAATTAATCACATGATTAGTAACAGAACAGAGTAGTTAGACAATAGTAGTTACTAGACACTACAATAAATTTTCAGACAAAACTTACATAGTTAAAAAGGCGTTGCTTTGCTTGCCTTGTTTCGATCGAACATTCTAAACTGCATTTTACATCGAATAATGCCGTGCAGTTTTGAGCGTAAATAGCAAACACGACGGTTCTATTTCGACGGTGAAGAGAGTGTCGATACACCCTCCTAGTGGTGCACGCATATTGCTTCCGGACGGTAGATACATAGCGTATCACGAAATCGGAGTTGCAGCTGATAAAGCCAGATTTTCCGTTATCGTCCCACACGGTTTTCTCTCTTCTCGATTTGCGGGTAAGCAAAAAAATTGATGGATAAGTTACATTATGCGTTCTTAATTTTTATTTTTATGAATTTCGATAAATGATCAACAACAGGTATCTTGGGCATCAAAGTTTCATTGCTGGAAGAATTCGGTGTTCGTCTCATCGGTTACGATCTACCAGGTTTTGGAGAAAGCGATCCACATTCAAACAGAAGTCTTAATTCATCGGCTCTGGATATGTCACACTTGGCATATTCCGTCGGAATAAACGGTAAATTCTGGGTTCTTGGATATTCGAGTGGCTCTTTGCATGCTTGGGCTGCTCTAAAGTATATTCCAGATCAAATTGCAGGTAAATAAAAAATACTCGAATTTGTGATGTCATATTGGATAAGATCTTTTTTGGGGTTTTTAAAGATGCTTGTTGCTTACAGGTGCAGCCATGTTAGCCCCGTTGGTTAATCCATACGATTCGAGCATGACAAGAGAAGAGAATTCCAGCACTTGGAGAAATTGGACACGAAGAAGAAGATTATTGTTCTATTTGGCTCGAAAATTTCCGAAGTTCCTTAATTACTTCTATAGTCGAACTTTTCTCTCTGGGAAGCATGGTCAAATAGATAAGTGGTTATCCTTAAAACTCGGAAAGAAGGTACGAACTCTCATCTATTCTATAGTATCTATTTTTTTTTTTTTTTTTTTGTGTGTGTTTGTATTTGATCTTGATATATTTTGCCGCGTTTTATTTATGCAGGATAAAGATCTCGTTGAAACATCGGCTTTCGAGAAAATCTGGCAGAGGGATGTCGAAGAGTCGGTTCGTCAGAATAACCCTAAACCATTTGTCGAGGAAGCTATGCTCCAGGTGTCGAATTGGGGTTCCAATCTCGTGGATCTTCAAGTGCAAAGAAAATGCCCCAAGAAAGGAATATTCTCTTGGCTGCACTTTATGTACACTCAGCCGGAATGTGAATTAACCGGATATCTTGGTCCGATTCATATATGGCAGGTTTGCATCCATTTTTTAATTTTTTTTCGTTTTCTTGAATTATTGCATCCTCGTAAATTTATATTTTTTTTGTTATGGAACAGGGAATGGATGATACGGTGGTTCCTCCGTCAATGACTGATTATGTGGCGCGTGTACTGCCCACTGCTAATGTGCACCGGCTTCCGGGAGAAGGCCACTTCTCGTACTTCTCTCTCTGTAATGAGTGTCATAGGGACATATTTTCGACTATTTTCGGAAGCCCGCAAGGTATGCTATATACTGTAGATAATAATAATACCGTAGCAAAAGACGAGGCACAGGAGACCTTGTTTCAGACAATGTAGATAACGACATGGGATAAATAATTCCACTGAATCCTCGTGCTTATCGAGATATAACTTTAACTTTTACTTCTCGGTGCTGATAACAGATATACGAAATAGAAAGCACGACAATGTTGAAAGATAAAATCTTTTCTTTTTTTGGTAATGACGATTTCTCTGCCTCGTTTTTCTGTGTGTACGAGATGTCATGATATGATGCTTCTTGTATTGCGTAAGGCATCGTTATTAGTTTAACATCAATGACCTTTGTATCTAAGCAATGGCTTCCTAAGTTTATATTGAACTCTGATAATTAATACAAACATGAGGGGGGTTTTTGTAATTTGAGCATACCTTAGGGGGTGTCCGTAATTTGCCATATTCGATGGAAAATGAGTTATGTTATTCTTTTCGTGTGTGTATTTTGTCTACGATTGGAAATCGAACATATTAGATCGGAATTAGCATGTTTGTAAAAATTCTTCCTTATTACGCGGACCAGAGTACACCGTCTGTTTCACGTGGTAAAGTTAGGCCTCCTTTTTTTCTTTTTCCAAATTTTTAAAAAATTCGGATCGAATTTTAAAATACACGATAATTAATATATTTGTTTCCGAAAGAATTGAATTTTTTTAAATTATTTTCGTAAATTACGACCAGATCGATAATCAAAATCTCACATAATATTCCAAATCCCAACCAAAAAAATAAAAAAGGTCGAAAAAATAAAATAAAAATCGGAATTCTCGAAATTCAGAGTGAAAAACATTTTTCCACATCCGGAAACTTCGGGATCAAAATCGGTGGAAATCGATCTTCCATATTTAGTTTAGAGAAGACTTCAAAAGTACGAAAAAAAAAACTGTAATTGACTGCTTAAACTTTGCTGCCAAATCCCATATACTTTCAGATGCAATTCATTACAAATTTTAAAAATCCAGACAGTAAAATGTCATTTTCATACGGCATCATTAATCATTTTCGAAGCATTCTCTAACAGGCAATTAGGTGAAGATGATCTTTATCCTAATCATCATTATTAAGAAATGTGAAGATCCCACAGTAGAACTTTAGAGCAACCCTGCGTCGGAATTCCCTTCACCTTCGCTTCCTCTTCAAGAACTTCTTTTCTCACAAATCTCAGTGAATTCTGCACTCGAATGTCAAAAATACACAAACGTACATTTTATAAGTATATATGTATTTGAAGATATGTAGAAACAAATACGCGCACACCTGGGAAGTGTCTTGAACAGATGAAGGGCGGCCCCACCTCTCCGGATCCCAAAGAATTGAACTGTTGAATGCGAAACTTGATATAGGAAGAGCCGTTGTTCTTGTATCTGTTACATTGTTCGTCTTTTTTAAATGCCACCCCACAACTTCTGAGAAATCACAAACCGGCCCCTCGATTGTCACCTTCTTCTTGTTCGCAAAAAGTTTAGCTATAGGCCACGTCCCGAATGCCCTGAAAATTATTTCACCTTTTTAAAAAGATTATCTCAATTCTCAAACCAATTATAATCCTTTCTGTCATGAGAATCTAAAAAGAAAAAAGAATTAAATCTGATTTTCCATTCTTACGGCTAATAATGATTATCGATTAGGGATCTAACTAAGGCCTGCATAAAACTTCAATTTTGTTCATTTCTTGAATCTTTAAGTAAATAAAAAATCAGATGAAAATTACTTGACAAGAATATAGCAAATACTTACTCGACTGCTCTTATCTCTTCGAAGAAATGGAGATCGTAAACATTTGAAAGCCCTGCAAAATGGACGATTCCACTCAGCCGATGGTGTTCAATGTGATTCACAGCAATATTTCTCTGATGATCCATTTCAGAATCCACATCAGTGAAATTCTCCTTGAAGACAACATGCCTGTACATGATCCCTGTTTTCCTTAGTATCTCAGAAACCTCGGAATCTTCAGACAGCTGTTCCACAACAATCCACAACAACGGGCGAGCCACCAATTTCAACGTGTTTGCCAATCTCCTAAGTAACACCCCTCTTAGCTTATTTCTCCCACTAGTAGGTGTGATGACAATTACTAGTTTCCTTACGTTTAATTCCTCGGAACCCCTTTTGTCTTCTTCGGGTACTCTCTGATCCTTATCTGAATTGTGACTGTGCTCCGCTTTTGATACTGTTTTATCGAACAAGCTTCTGTTGAAATTCTGCGTTCTTGATTGGTGAAACACTTTCACTGGCTGAGGTGAGTAGTTTGACGAAAGCGACATTGTAACACGGCTCGAAAATATTGATGCCTTGCTGGTTGGAGCAAAGCCGGTGAAGAATCCCATGACAAAACATAGCAAGAAATGAACTGTGGCTTTCTTCCATAACTGCACCTTCTTCTTTGATCTTTCTAAAGATGCCATTTTTCTAAAGGGGGGTTCTTGCAAACTATCCAGGCGTTTCGATATATTAAGGAAGACTATCGACAAGTAATGTTAAAGTAGATATGCAACTCAGCATTAAAAATTGCAGTTGTAGGTGGAGTCAACTGAAACAGAGAGTTGTTACTGATTGAAGTTTGTTAATTGGTGAGGCTTTGCTTGACATAGTCATGCCTTTAAGTATAAGAAAAACAGCACAATAAAATATTGCTTTCTTGCACCAAATTGTGGTTGAGATGTACATTCATCCACCTAAAGTTTTGAAAAGAACCAAATTTTTCCTTTTAGGAGGCAATCATTTCTTTGAGTAGTTGCCATTTTAAACGGCTAACTATTTAGAGAGCCTGCTCGTAGTGATATATGTATATATACCATATATATATAAAACTGTGTTTTCCATTCCAAGTTTTCCTCAGAGGGATTGTAACTAATCAAGAATGCAATTTAAGTTGATTAGATATATTCCGTGTACACATAAACTGAAGCAAAATCTGCAGAATATGCAAATAATATCAATTACGAGCATCTTTCTAAAGGAAGATACGACAGAGAAAACAAAAAAAACACTAACAAGTTTGAAGGTTTCGAGGTAGCTTTCTTCTTCTGTTCCCAAAAAAACACACTAACGAGTTTTTCAACTGCCGTTGCTTCAACAGTGAGCACTTAATAGAGCATCAAAATTCTTGTCTTAGAACTTGAAACATTCAAAACTAAAGTTCTTCCCATTAGCAAAATTTTGGCTAATCTTTCAAGCAGGTGGGATCCTAGACAACGCCCAAGCCGGCGATCTGTTCAACCACAACACTTCACCAGTCTCTTTGTGCCGAAAATCAGGTGCTTTCGGGTTTTTCTTCTTGGTTCGATTGTCCCACCATTATGCAGGATTTTCAACCAAATCCTTCCAGGAATCATCCGATTTCCCACTAC